TGCATATAAGTTAAATAAGCACGGTGACTATATACAGCCTTGCCATACTCCTTTCCCAATTGGAACCAGTCTGCTATTCCATATTCTGTTTTAACTATTGTTTCTTGACCTGCATACAGATTTCTCAGGAGGCAGGTAAGGTGGTCAGGTATTCCCATCTCTTTCAGAATTTTCCACAGTTTATTTTGATCCACATTGTCAAGGGCTTTGGCATTGTTAATAAAGCAGAAACTGGAACTCTCTTGCTTTTTTGATGATCCAGCAAATTTTGGCAATTTGATCTTTTGTTCCTCTCTCTTTTCTAAATCCAGTTTGAACATCTAGAAGTTCATGGTTCATTACTGTTGAAGCCTGTCTTGGAGAATTTTGAGCACTAGTGTGCTAGTGTGTGAGATGAGTGCAATTGTGCGGTAGTTTGAACGTTCTTTGGCATTGCCTTTCTTTGGGATTGGAATGAAAACTGACATTTTCCAGTCCTGTGGCCACTGCTGGGTTTGCCAAATTTGCTGGCATATTGAGTGCAGCACTTTCACAGCATCATCTTTTAGTATTTGAAGTAGCTCAACTGAATTCCATCACCTCCACTAGTTTTATTCATGGTGATTACTTCCTAAGGCCAACTTGACTTTGCATTCCAGGATGTCTGGCTCTAGGTGAGTGATCACAGCATAGTAGTTATATGGGTAATGTAGGTCTTTTTTGTATAGTTCTTCTGTGTATTCTTGTCATCTCTTCTTAATATCTTCTGCTTCCATTAGGTCCGTAATATTTCTGTCCTTTGTTGAGCCCATCTTTGCATGAAATGTTCCCTTGGTATCACTAATTTTCTTGAAGAGATCTCTAGTCTTTCCCATTCCATTGTTTTCCTCTGTTTCTTTGCACTGATCACTGAGGAAAGCTTCCTTATCTCTCCTTGCTTATCTTTCAAATTCTGCATTAAAATGGATATATCTTTCCTTTTCTCCTTTGTCTTTTGCTTCTCTTCTTTTCTCAGCTATTTGTAAGCCCTCCTCAGACAACCATTTTGCCTTTTGGCATTTCTTTTCCATGGGGATGGTCTTGATCCCCACCTTCTGTACAATGTCACGAACCTCCGTCCATAGTTCATTAGGCACTCTGCCTATCAGATGTAATCCCTTGAATCTATTTGTCACTTCCACTGTATAATCTTAAAGGATTTGATTTAGGTCATACCTGAATGGTCTAGTGGTTTTCCCTACTTTCTTCAACTTAAGTCTGAATTTGGCAATAAGGAGTTCCAGATCTGAGCCACAGTCAGCTCCCAGTCTTGTTTTTGCTGACTGTCAATCTGATTTGGGTGTTGACCATCTGGTGATGTCCATGTGCAGAGTCCTGTCTTGTGTTTTGGGAAGAGGGTGTTTGCTATGACCAGTGCCTTCTCTCGGCAAAACTCTGTTAGCCTTTGCCCTGCCTCATTGTGGACTCCAAGGCCAAATTTGCCTGTTACTCCAGGTATCTCTTGACTGCCTACTTTTGCATTCCAGTCCCTTATAATGAAAAGGACATCATTTTTGGGTGTTAGTTCTAAAAGTTCTTGTGGGTCTTCATAGAACCACAGCTTCAGCTGTTTCAGCCTTACTGATTTGCCATAGACCTGGATTACTGTGATATTGAATGATTTGCCTTCATGTATGAGACAGTGCAAAGGTATTATTAAAACGCTTGTTCCACCTTTGAATTTGGTTCACTTCAGTTCAGTCACTCAGTCATGTCTGACTTTTTGCGACCCCATGGACCACATCACACTGGGCTTCCCTGTCCATTACCGACTCCCAGAGCTTGCTCAAACTCATATCCATGGAGTCAGTGGTGCCATCCAGCCATCTCATCCTCTGTTGTCCCCTTCTCTTCCTGCCTTCAATCTTTCCCAGGATCAGAGTCTTTTCTAAGGGGTCAGTTCTTCACATCAGGTGGCCAAGGTATTGGAGCTTCTACTTCAGCTCAGTCCTTCCAATGAATATTCAGGATTGATTTCCTTTCAATTGACTGGTTTCATCTCCTTGCCATCCAAGGGACTTTGAAGAGTCTTCTTCAACACTACAGTTCAAGCATCAATTCTTTGGTGCTTAGCTTTTTTTATAAATATGCTCAATTAATCAATAAGTTTCTCTTTGGCCATGACACAATGCATTTGGGATCTTAGTTCCTTGAGCAGGGTTGGACCTGGGCCCTAGCAGTGAAAGTGCAGAATGCTAACCTCTGGACTGCCAGGAAATTCCATAATCTATAAATCTTAATGCAAGTATATCACATATAAAGTGAAGCATATGTCACATTATGGAGACATAAATGCCAAAAGCAGAGTGATTCCTCACTCCCTTCAAGGAGTGTGACAGCATTAAATATGGCATATGGTCAAGATGATGCTACTAAGTGTATGAGATTACCTATATTTTGAATATCTAGGGAGGCTGGGCATTGAGGAGCACACATTCACTCTTTCCAGATAGAAAGATTGCAGGAGATCAACTGACCCCACTCACCTGTCTGAGAGGACCTCACCCCATCCTCCTTCTCTGGGAGTACTTCCTCTTCACTCCCTTGAGAAGCAGGAGGAGCCCCAGGCACTCGTACCTCTTCAACATCATCGTAATTTTCAGCAGGGACATCAGTCCTCTGATCTGGGGATTCCAAGAGCAGACAAGGGAGTGTATGAAACCACAGTAAGTGGGTTGGTCTGGGGAATAACTAAGATCCCTTCTGACCCAGAGTTTCTGAGTTTCTGAATAGAGCCACCAGTCACTCCTTGTTTCAAAAGACTTTTTTCTCTAAGACCATGTTTCATTTTGACGTGTCCATAAGCCAAAACATGATTTTACATATCTTAATATTTTCTGGTGGAAACTACGTATCTCAAAGCAACTCTTCCACCATTGAGCATTGCTAAAGTACTTTGACAAATTGCACTTTACAGATGTTACTTTTTTTAACATTGTGTGCCTGTTGTGATTCCAGACACAGAGAGACCAGCCCCGATGTGAGACATCACAGAACAGCCAGACAAGGAGAAGGAAGAACACCATCTGGACACAGGGATGCCTCTGGTCCATCACAGGAAAGCCATTCCCTTTAAATCTCCTCTCTATGAGGGAAACTCTCCTCCCCAAAGCCAGCGGAGGGAGGTCCACCTCTGTTTCCTGGAGTGGATCTGTAGTCACTGTTTTCCTCACCATCTCTGCTGTAATACAGCCGTTTAACAGTGAGTCATCTGACAGGAAACCTCGTGTGGAGACAAACATCACACAACACACAGAATGACCCTCCTCACACCACGGGACCTGTGTTAAGGCTGAGAAGGGACAGGCCTGGCTTCTGCAGTGTAGACAGAGGCTGGGAGATCATGGGGCTCTGAGAGGCCATCCTGCCACTTTGGAGGAGCTGTCTCTGTGAGACTGGAGCACACATGAGGTCTGCCCATGCTGAGATGCGCACAGACAGTGGGTGGTGACAACCAGAGATCCCAGGAGGGCAGACAGAGACACTCACCTGGGCTGCCCAGACCTTCCTTGGGTGTCACAAGGTAATTGAGCTCCTCATACACAGCTTCAGCAAGGACATCTTCATAGCTGGATAAGGCTGAGAGATTCCCCAGCAGGTAAGAGAAGCCGCCCCAGACACCCTGGTCCAGCAGACCCACCCTTCCTCTCCCTGGTGCTCACACGGGGGCTGCCAGGCCCTCAGCATCGTCTCCCACCACTTGCACCATGTCAGCACCTTCTCCCCTCGTCTGGCCCTGAATACAGCTCAGCGCCAACTCTGTCTGGTCTCACAGGATAGGCCATGACTTATGAGAGTTCACATTCCAGTCCTCTGTCTACTCAGACCTTAGAGTTCAGCATGGAGCACATGGAGTCTGCAACTCAGAGCAGAGACCTGGCTCAGGCTCCCCTCCTCACACCTGCCCCATCTCCTGCCTCCACACACGCTCCCTGGTCCCCAGTTCCCCCTACAGCCCACCTCTGCGCTCTGCTCTCCATCTGAGCAGCTGAGTCACTAGGATGACGAGGACCAGAAAGAGAAGGGCTCCCAGGATGAGGCAGAGGACCCCAGGCAGGGAGAAGATGCCAGGGAGAGGATTTGAGGTTGTTCTGGTCCCTAAGGAGAACAGGAAAAAGGGCTGGAGATAGTCTTGGGCACAAAGAAATCCCCTGTGTCAACATTTTCAGGAGCTCCAGACAACGGTGTCCCAGCCTCAGACAGTGTCAGGGCTCCCCCGGGTTTCGTTCTGACACAAGTCAACTCCACTCCGGCCAGTGTGGCCCCGAGGAAGAGCCGGGGATTGTCAGGGAGCTGCCCTGCCGAGACAGCCTCCGAGGACCCGGCTCATCTCTTCTCCTTGGGCTTCAGGAGACAGAGCATCAAACAGTCCAGGGACCCGCACCTCACTGATGAGGAGCAACACTCAGGGCAGGTGGGAGTTCCTTAGATTTCACAACATGGGAACCAGACTTCCCTGGACCCCGGGCATGAGAACTTGGACCCTGGGCATCAAGGCAGGGGATTTCCCCAGTGAATGCCCTGGCTCCTCCCTGGCAGCCACAGCTCCTCAGACTCTTTCCTCTTTTGAGTTGTCAGGGAGCCCCCAGAGCAGGCCCCCAGTATTTGAGTATTCTCTCCTGCCCATGCATGGATCACAGTACCTGCTGCAGTCGAGGGCAATGTTGTCCTTACACCTAAAGAGAAAAACAGCAGTGTGGGGAAGAGGAATTGGCCAGAACGCAGGCAAACCATTTTTCCCTCCTGAGCCTGAAATCACCCCTCAGTTTCCAAAACAGCAGTCTCCAGTCCTCCCATCTCCCCCGTCCTAGATCAGAGCCCCAGCACCCGGACACTCTCTGAACACAAACTCCCCACCAGGCCCGGCCCAGCCCACTGCCGCCGCGCTGCCCCAGCTCACCCAGGGCGGACCCGCGCCCCTCACTCACCAGAGCACCTCACCCCGCGCCCCTCACTCACCAGGGCGGACCCGCGCCCCTCACTCACCAGAGCACCTCACCCCGGCGTCCTCCTCGTGCTTGCAGTCGCTCTGCCCCCAGGGCCCCGCGGCACAGGCCCACAGGGAGGACTCCCGGCCCCCGCACCGCACCTCGTCCAGCCAGATGCTCCCGTTTCCAGGGCCAAATGCCGCGGCCCGCACGGCTTCCAGGGCCGGGCCACAGCCCAGCTGCTGACACACCACCTCGGCCTCTGCCAGGCTCCAGGAGTCATCGCACACGGTGCCCCAGGAGCCGCTGTGCCAGACCTCCACCCGCCCTGAGCACTCGCTGTCTCCTCCCCTGAGCCGGAGCTTCTCTCTGTCTGAAAAGGCAGCAGCCCCTCCTTTGACTCCCCTGGTGGGAGGAAGGAGCCCCTGGGAGCCCTGGGGAGGGGGCGGGGCTGACGTACCTGTGCAGGGGGCAGCAGCTGGGCAGCTCTTGGGTCTTCTTCCTGCAAACAACAGGGAAACACTGGATCAGGAACAGCTGGGGGTAGTCTTGCCCCAAATAAGATTATCTAAGGTCTGACTCAGTGCAAAGGAAACATGAAAACACAGATTCATTATCTCCTGGGCTGAAACATTCACTGCATCTGATCACCAGCTGAAATTACCTTAAATATTTACTTGTTTATCAGTCTTCACACCCGACAGCAAATATAAACACAAACATGTACGAATGTACACACACCCTTCTGAATGAAAGTTCCATTAGAGGAAAGTCCTTGTATATCTTATATATGCCATGTTTCTGCTGTTAGGACAGTGCCTGCACATTGTATGCACTCATTCAACAAATATCTATGGAAAACCATTTCTAAATACCAGATAGGGGCTAGATAAATATTTATTGAATGAATAGACAAATAAAGTTCAGTGAAATAAAATTTCTTTTTCTTAAATTCATACTAATCAGTGAAATAGTAAACCAAATATACATTAATGGTAACAGTCTATGATAATAGTTCGTATTAAAAATAACCAGTCCAGAAGCACAGAGTCAATTTATATTCAAAATCTCATGTACATAATTTTAATGGAAAATTGTTAGATAGATTATAAACTACTCTTACTTATTATTCAGTGTGACAAGTGGGCAAGTAAAGACTACTGTTGTAAAGGGAAACTCTCTTTTTAAAATTTATTTTTAATTGAAAGATAATTGCTCCACAATGTAGTGTTGGTTATGTGCGTGTGTGTGTTAGTTGCTCAGTCATGTCCAACTCTTTGTGACCCCATGGACTGCAGCCCACCAGGCTCCTCTGTCCATAGGAATTTCCAGACAAGAATACTGGAGTGGATTGCTATTCCCTTCTCCACTGGGTCTTCCCTACCCAGGGATCAAACCCAGGTCTCCCACACTGCAGGCAGTTTCTTTGCTCTCTGAGCCACCAGAAAAGCCTGTAGTGTTGGTTGGGAATCTTTTTTTTTTTTAATGAGTAATTTTATTTTATTTTATTTGTTTATTTTTATTATTTTTTTCCATTTATTTTTATTAGTTGGATGCTAGTTACTAATATGGAATTTAGAAAGATGGTAACGATAACCCTATATGCTAAACAGAAAAAGAGACACAGATGTACAGAACAGACTTTTGGACTCTGTGGGTGAAGGCGAGGGTGGGATGTTTCGAGAGAACAGCATCGAAACATGTATATTATCTAGGGTGAAACAGATCACTAGCCCAGGTTGGATGCATGAGACAAGTGCTCGGGGCTGGTGCACTGGGAAGACCCAGAGGGTTTGGGTAGAGAGGGAGGTGGGAGAGGGGATCGGGATAGGGAATACATGTAAATTCATGGTTAGGAATCTCTTAAAAAGAGATTTCCTTTCCTGTGTACTTACACAAAAGACTTAGTAGAATTCTGAGAAGATATATGTACACATATATGTACACACTGAGTAAGCCAGAAATTTTTGCAATTGTCAAAAAAAGCCTATTGAGAAAAATTTGTATTGAGTAGATGCAGAAATAATAAAAAAAAGACTGAAAATATATATAAAAGAATTGAAGCTGAGAGAAATAAATATAAATTCAAAAAAACAGAAGGGTAATAGTACCTATTATAAAGTATCAATATTTATATATTCTTTCCAGATCATCCTATCAAAACTATACACTCTATGCAGAAAACGACGGCAGGACCTCTGTGAGTGGGTTGCTCATTTTCATGGTCAAGATTTTACCACCTCGCAATTCACGGGGTTTCATTGTAGGAAAAATGTCATCAATAAAAGGTCTCATAGTTTAGTGCCTCTTTGGCCTTCAAATGAAAAAGACAAAGAGATGAGCAAAGAGAGGCAAGGAAGGGAGTGAGCCTCTGCTTTTGAAGTATCTGTTCCCACATTCTCTTAGCTATGGGTTTCAGGCAACATCCATCAAACCATTCAAGGTGTACCTGAATGGGGTGTGTGTGTTTGTGTATGTGGAGGGGAAGGGAAGGGGAGACAGAAACAGAGAGAGAAATGTTGAAGGAATAAGGTGCTATACTTTGACTATTTGCCACCCTCGACAGCATTTATTTATTTCATTCAAAAGTTATTGCTGAAATCTCAATTCTCAATGTAACAGTATTTAGTGGTGGAGCCGTCTCTAACTCTTCCAAGAACAGAAGAAAGGAACACTTTCAAATTCATTTGATAAAGCCAACATTAGTCTGATACCAAAGCCAGATAAGGACACCATGAGAAAAGAAAATTACGGGCTAATACTCTGATAAATAAAAATCGAATTTTAATCAACCATACCAGAGGAAAGACTGACTTGTCTTTCTGTTCTCTCTATATAAAAAGCTATGAAATTATTATCATAGAAAAAAGCTATGCAGCCAAAAAAATGTAGAAAAGCAAGCACTGTTGAAATGGTCAAGATGGCTTGTGAAGAGACAGTATGATACTGTTAGAGATTTTGTAATTTTTAACATATCTATGAATCTTTAAAGTTAACTGAGATTTCTTTTCTCATTTGAAATAAATGTTCACAATCAAAAAAAAAATCCTCAACAAAATATCAGAAAACTGAATTTGACAATACATTAAAAGAATCATACATCATGATCAATTGATATTTGTTCCAAGGATGCAAGGATAGTTCAACATTCACAAATTAATCAATGTGATACACCAAATAAACAAAATGAAGGTAAAAATCATATCCTCAAAGGATGCAGAAAAAGAGTTTGACAAATTCAACATCCACTTACAGTAATACCTTTTTTACAAAGTAGGTATAGGAGGATTGTATCTCAACATGATTAAGGCCATATGAAAAGTACACAGCTAATATCATACTTGACTGTAAAAAACCAAGAGCTTTTCCTCTGAAATCAGACACAAGACAAAAATGTCTACTCTCACCACTTTTATTCAACTTAGTTTTGGTAGTCCTATCCAGATCCATCAGGCAAGAAAAAGAAAATCAAGACATCCGAATCTGAAAGGAAGAGGCAAAATTGACACTCTTTGCACATTGAAAAGTGAAAGTGTTAATTGCTCAGTCATGTCTGACTCTTTGCGACCCCAAGGACTGCAGCCTTCCAGGCTTCTCTGTCCGTGGGATTCTCCAGGCAAGAATACTGGAGTGGGTTGCCATTCCTTCCTACAGGGGATCTTCCTGACCCAGGGGCTGAACCCAGGTCTCTTGCATTGCAGACAGATTCTTTACCATCAGAGTAGTGAGGAAAGAAACCCCCTTACATGATATTGTATGTAGAAAACACTAAAGGCTTCACTAAAAGTATGAGAACTAATACACTCAGTAAAGTTGTAGAAAGAAAAATCTGTATACAAAAATCATATGCATTTCTTTACACTAGCAACAAACTGTTATAAGAGAAACTGAGAAAACAATTCTATTTACATTTGCATTAAAATGAATAAAATATCTAGGAATAAATTTAACCAAGGAGGTGAAAGACCTGTACACTGGAAACAATAAGACATTGATGAAAGATACTGAAGATGAGTCAAATAAATGGAAAGATATTCTGTGCTCACGGATTGGAAGATCTAATATTATTAATATGCCCATTCTACCCAAAGCAATCTACAGATTCACTGCAATCTTATCAAAATTCCACTGGAAATTATCACAGATACAGAAGAAACAATCCTAAAATTTGCATGGAAGAACAAAAGATGCTGAATACCAAAGCAATCTTTTTTTTTCTTTTTTTCCCAATTATTTTCATTAGCTGGAAAATAATTACTTTACAATATTGTAGTGGTTTTTGCCATACATTGACATGAATCAGCCATGGATTTACATGTGTTCCCCATCCTGAAGCCCCCTCCCACCTCCCTCCCCATCCCATCCCTCTGGGTCATTCCAGTGCACCAACCCGAGCACTTGTCTCATGCATCCAACCTGGACTGGCTATCTGTTTCACACTTGATAATATACATGTTTCAATGCTGTTCTCTCAGATCGTCCTACCTGAGGTAGATGATACTGGAGCCCATTATACAGAGTGAAGTAAGCCAGAAAGAAAAACACCAATACAGTATACTAATGTATATATATGGAATTTAGAAAGATGGTAACGATAACCCTATATACAAAACAGAAAAAGAGACACAGTTGTATAGAACAAAGCAATCTTGAGAAAGAATAAGAAAGCTAGGGGTGTCATGCTTCCTGATTTTAAACTATATTACAAAGCTACATTAATCAAAACAGTATGTTCTTGGTATAAAAATGGACACGGAGATCAATGGAACAGAATAGAGAGCCCATAAATAAACCCACATTTCAATGGTCAATTAATTTTTGACAAAGAAGCCAAGAATATACAGTGTGAAAAGGACAGTTCTTTCAGTAAATGGCATGGGAAAACTGGACAGCCACATGCAAAAAATGAAACTGGACCACTATCTTACACCATTCACAAATATTAACTCAAAACAGATTAAAGACTTGATCACAAGTCATGAAGCCATAAAATTTCTACAGGAAAAAAACAGAAAATAAAATCCTTGACACCAGTCTTTGTGATGAAATTTTTGGATTTGATACCAAAAGCAAAGGGAACAAGAGTAAGAACAAGCAGTTGTGATGACATAAGGCTAAAAATCTTCTGCCCAATTAAGGAAACCATCACCAAAATGAAAAATCAGCCTATGGAATTGGAGAAAATATTTGCATATTATATTTCTGGTAAGGATTATTATCCAAAATACATAAGGACCTCATACAACTCAGTTGCAAAAAAAAAAATCTGATTTTTAAAAAATGGTCAGAGAACCTGAATAGACATTTTTTTGAGGGGTGAAGGTGAGGTCGTTCAGTTGTGTCCGACTATAAAAAAAAAAAAAGAGAACCAAAAAAAGAAAAAAAAAAAAAGAATACATACAACTTGCCAATAGGTACATGAAAACGTGCTCAACACTACTAATCATCAGAAAATATAAATCAAAAGCATAATGAGATATAACCTCATATCCTCTAGAAAGGCTTTTATCAAAAAGAAGAAATAACAGGTGTTGAGGAGAATATGAAGAGACAGGAAAGCTTTTGCACAGTTAGAAGGAATGTAAGTTGATCAGCCCCTATGGAAACAGTGTTGAGGTGCATCAAAAATTAAAAATAGAACTGCCATATGATTTAGGAATTTCACTTTGAAGTATTTATCTGAAGGAAGCAAAAACAGTAACTTGAAAACCCAATGTTCACTGTAGCAACATATGTTCAGTTGCTAGGTTGTCTCTGACTCTGCAACCCCATGGACCGCAGCATGCCAGGCTCCTCTGTCCTTCACTGTCTCCCAAAGTTTGCTCAAATTCATGTCCACTGAACTGGTGATGCTTTCTAACTATGTCATCCTCTGTATTTTGCCTTCAGTATTTCCCAGCATCAGGATCTTTTCCAATGAGTCAGCTCTTCTCATCAGGTGGCCAAACTATTGGAGCTTCAGCTTCAGCATCAGTCCTTCCAGTGAATATTCAGGGTTGATTTCTTTTAAGATTGATTGGTTTGATCTCCTTGCTGCCCAAATGACTCTCAATTCAATTGTGGCATCCAAGCACCACAATTCAAAAGAATCAACTCTTTGGCATTTAGCTTCTTCTCTAACCCAGCTCTCATGGCCAGAGATGACTACTGGAAAAAATATAGCTCTGACTATATGGACCTTTGTCAGCAAAGTGATGTCTCTGCTTTTTAACACTGTGTCTAGGTTTGTCACAGAGGAGCAAGCCTCTTTTAATCTCATGGCTGCAGTCACCATCGGCAGTGATTTGGGAGTCCAAGAGAAGAAAATCTGTCACTGTTTCTATTTTCTCCCCTTTTATTTGCCATGAAGGGCTGATGATCTTAGTTTTCAGAATGTTGAATGTTGAGCTGTAAGCCAGCTTTCTCACTCTCCTCTTTCACCCTCAACAAGAGGCTCTTTAGTTCCTCTTCGCTTTCTGGCATTAGAGTGGTATCATCTGCAGATCTGAGGTTGTTGATATTTCTCACAGCAATCTTGATTCCAGCTTCTGATTCTTCCAGCCAGACATTTCCTATGATGTCTCTGCATATAAGTTAAATAAACAGGGTATCAATATACAGCCTTGATGAACTCTTTTACCAATTTGGAACCACTCGATTGTTTCATGTTCAGTTCCAACTGCTGCTTTTTGACCTGCATACAGGTTTCTCAGGAGGCATAAGGTGCTCTGGTATTCTCATCTCTTTAAGAATTTCCCACAGTTCATTTGATCCACATGGTCAAAGGCTTTATGTAGTCAATGAAGCAGATGTTTTTCTGGAATTCTCTGGCTTACTCTATGATGCAACAAATGTTGGCAATTTGATCTCTGGTTTCTCTGCCTTTTCTAAACCCAGCTTGTACATCTTGGAAGTTCTCAGTTCACTTACTGCTGAAGCCTAGCTTGAAAGACTAAGCATAACTTTGTTAGCATGTGAAATGAGCCCAAACATGCGGTAGTTTGACCATTGCCCTTCTTTGAGATTGAAATGAAAACTGACCTTCTCCAGTCCTGTGGCCACTAATGAATCTTCCAAATTTGCTGACATATTGACTGAAGCACTTTAACAGTATTACCTTTTAGTATTTTATAGCAATATATATGAGTCAAACAATGTAAGTCTTCACTGATGAATGAATAAAGAAAATGTAATATAGACATATATTCATCAATAAAAAAGAAGAAAATCTTGCCAGTATCAACAACATGGATGGACCTTGAGGGCATTATGGTAAGTGAAACAAATCAGACAAAGAAAGAAAAATACCATATAATCTCATTTATATTTGTAATCTTAAAACAAAAAGCAAGTTCAGAGATGCTGAGTAGATGGTGACTGCAGAGGTGGGGGATTCAGTGTGGGCAAAGGTAATCAAAAGGTATAAATTTGAATTATAAAATTAATAGGTGAAGAGATAACATACAGGATGGTGACTATAGTGAATACTGTATTGTCTGTTTGAAAGATGGCGAGAAAATACATCTTAAACATTCTCATCATGTAAGAAAAATATGCAACTATATATATGGATATATATATATATATGGATATAGATATAGATATAACTAGACTTACTGTAGTGATCATTTATCAATACACACAAACATATAAGCATTATGTTCTACGCAGCAAAAAATATAATGTTGTATCAATAATATCAATTAAAAATTTTTAATAAAGCAAGTTTGGAACATGTAGATTAAATTAGCTCCATCCAAACTTCGTTTTATAATCTCAACTTAAACCCATCACTTAGATTTTAAAATATCAAATCTCACTAATAACATCCTACAGGGTTGGGACCGACACAGAGACAGATATAAGTCACCTGCACATGAGATGTAGGCTTCCTCCTTTGGAGAGCATGAACTGAATTTCCATGGGCCAGAAGGACACTGCCAGAGAGAGGTATCAGTTTTCCGACACTGAATTAAATCTACCCACCGGGGTCTAGAACCTTCCCTGAGACCAGCAGAGGTGTTGACACTTCCACTGTCCCCACAGCCAAGCTGACTGCAGATGATGGACACGGTGACCTCATCCATAGGGCTGCGGCAGACACTGCCCCAGGTCCCGTTGTAGAAAACTTCCAGCCACCCAGCACACTGCTGGTCCTCGCTGACCATCCTGAGGGCCAGGAACTCTAAGATGGAAATTGAGAAGACAGGACACAGTGAGCCCTACACTCAGTGCTCTGGGTTTTCCTCTCTCCCCAAAATTGTGAACACTCATCTGTGACCCAGCTGAGGAAGTAAATCCATTAGATGACCAGAGTTAAGCTTGTTTCCTTTTTACTTGACTTTGTCCATTTGTGTCTGTCTTTCTAAATATTTCTACCACCATGATGTGGTGGATAAGAAGTGAGAGGAAGACCAACCCGGACACCTGCAGGGGGAGGGAGCTGACTCCTGCTTCCTGACAAAACATCTAAAAGAGTGTATGAAATGGATGTGATGTGGAAAATGTGGAGTCAGATAGAATAATGGACCTGTGACTATTTCCTTATCTGGCAAAGGGGACTTTACATATGTGATTAAGGTATGAACCTTGGGATGGTAAGATTAACCTGAAATATGGTGGATTAACCACCTGAGCACAGTCTAATCACATTCTTAGACCCACTATCCTTTAAAGTGGAATCCTTTTCCTCGTTCTGGCTAGAGGAAGATGTGAATGTGGATAATGGTTAGAGAGGTGGAGCATTGCTGGTCTGATGATGAACAGAAGGGGGTTATAAGTGAAGGAAGGCAGGAGGTTTCTAGAAGCTTGAAAAGACAGGAAACAGATTCATTCCCAGAGGCTCAGAAGTGATGTGACCCTGCTGAAACTTTTATCACAGTCCAGTGGGATCCCTGCTGGATATCTAAGCTACAGAAGTGTAAGGAAATAAATGTTGTTTTAACCATTAACAATGTGGCAATTTGTTATAGAACAAACAAAAACTAACACAGTGGCTTTAAGACTTCTCTACCATATGTACCAGAAGGGTGAGCCCTGATTTCAAGACAAATTGTGAAAAAAGGCTCTGCCACGAAACACTACTGAGAATAAAAGACCAGAATCTCAGTTGCTGCAGGAGGCACTGAAAGCACCTCGTCTTCACGTCTGCTGGAAAGATGTGCTCCATGGGAGGAAGGCTCCTTCTCTGGTCTTTTCAGCATCTCTCCCTCAGGGCTCAGACGCCCGTCCTTCAGAGCCCCACCTCTCCCCCAAACTGTAGACAGTGTGCAGCACAGACCTGAACAGATGACCCCTGCATCCTCCTTGTGTCTGCAGTCGTGCTGCCCCCAGCCCCTGGAAGGGCACTTCCACACATGGGACTCATTTCCAGTGCAGTTCAGGTCATCCAGCCAGATGGGCCCTGACCCTGCCCTGAAGTGAGCAGACCCCGTGGCATTGAGGGCTTCTCCACAGCCCAGCTGCCTGCACACCACGTGGGCATCGTCCAGGTCCCAGCCGTCATCACAGATGGTGCCCCAGGAGCCCTGGTCAAGGATCTCCACTCTCCCAGCGCAGAGACCTCCCCCGTCCACCAGGCGGAGCTGTCTGCTGTCTGAGGAGAGAGAAATGGGGCAATGGGGCGGTGACCTGGGGAACGAGAAGGGTCTTCTGTCCTGTAGGACCCTCACCTGAGCAGTAGGGGGCGCTCTCCTCTGAGGCCGCAGAGCCTGTTGGTTCAGACACAAAGTGATTGCACCGGGGCTGCACCTGGGTCTGGTTTCCTGAAGAAACAGTGATGATTAGAGGGTTGGGAGGGTTAAAGAACAGGAAAGTCAGTTTAACTAAATAATTTTTAGGAGGGGAGAGGAGTTTGGGGGAAAATGGATACATGTATATGTATGGCCGAGTCCCTGGCTGTTCACCTGAAATGATAACAACATTGTTAATCGGCTATACCCCATACAAAGTAAAAATTTCAAAAGAAAAAAAATTTTTTTTAAATAGTGACCTAGGTGATGGAGCTGAGATGAAAGCTGTAACACACCAGTGAAGTTATAATCTTAGTGTTCCCTTTCTCTCTGAAGAGCCCTGGTCCTGACAATGGCACAAGTCCTCTTTTAAGTCAAACTTTGCCCTAAGAATGAGTTAAATAAGTTGTTCTATCCTTAAGTCTATCCCTTAAATAGAAGAAGCAAAACAATATCCTTTCTGAAGGAGTTGTACAATTTTTTATCTACAATGTTTGGGATTTTAAAAATACTTATATAAAAGACATCTCATGGAAAACCAAGAGGAAAAAGAAACATTGAAAAATATCCCAGGGTATTTGGCTCTTAAAGTTACCTGACAGAGAATTTATTTTATTTAATTTTATTAATTTTTGTTTGAGTATAATCACTTTACAATGTCGTGATAGCTTCTGCTGTACAGCAAATTTAATAAGTTATACATAACAAGAGAGAGAGAGAGAAAAGAAAGAAAGAAGGATGAAAGCAAAATACTAATCTAACATTTGGGGAATCCAGGTAAAGTTCAGAGAGAATTCATTCCTAAAAAACCTTCACTAAAGGAAATACTAATAACATCAAACCCATAAAATGCCTAGGAGAAAACCTAGTTAAACATGTGCAAAACATCTGAGAGAAATTCAAGACCTAACTGAATGAAGGGATATATTTTGTCAGTGAATTGGGAAATTCAATGTTGTCAAAGTCAGTCATTCTCAAATTTATATACAGATTAAATCTAACCTCAATCAAATTCCCTTGTGCGTTTGTGTGTCTGAAACCTGACAAGGTGATTCAAACTTTATGTTGCTATTGTTCAGTCACTCAGTTGTGTCTGACTCTTTGTGACCCCAAGGACTGCAGCACACCAGGCTTCCCTGTCCATCATCAACTCCCAGAGCTTGCTCAAACTCATGTCCTTTGAGTCAGTGATGCCATCCAACCGTCTCATCCTCTGTCATCCCCTTCTCCTCCTGCCTTCAGTCTTTCCTAGCATCAGAGGCTTTTCTAGTGAGCCAGCTCTTTGCATCAGGTGGCCAAAGTACTGGAGCTTCAAAAATGTATACAAAATACAAAAACCAAGAATGACCAAAGCAGTAGGCAAGAAAAGCAACAACATAACTTCTTTAAATTAAAGTTACCCAGACTTACTATGTGTGCTTAGTCAGTCAGTCGTGTCCAACTCTTTGTGACCCAATAGACTATAGCCCGCCAGGCTCCTCTGTCCATGGGGATTCTCCAGGCAAGAATACTGGAGTGGGCATTATCAGAGAAATGCAAATCAAAACCACAATGAGGTACCATTACACGCCAGTGAGGATGGCTGCTATCCAAAAGTCTACAAACAATAAATGCTGGAGAGCGTGTGGAGAAAAGGCAGCCCTCTTACACTGTTGGTTGGAATGCAAATTAGTACTGCCGCTATGGAGAACAGTGTGGAGATTTCTTTAAAAACTGGAAATAGAACTGCCATATGACCCTGCAATCCCACTTCTGGGCATACACACCGGGGAAACCAGATCTGAAAGAGACACGTGCACCCCAATGTTCATTGCAGCACTGTTTATAATTGGCAGGACATGGAAGCAACCTAGATGTCCATCAGCAGACAAATGGATAAGGAAGCTGTGGTACATATACACCATGGAATATTACTCAGCCATTAAAAAGAATTCATTTGAATCAGTTCTAATGAGATGGATGAAACTGGAGCCCATTATACAGAGTGAAGTAAGCCAGAAAGATAAAGACCAATACAGTATACTTATGCATATATATGGAATTTAGAAAGATGGTAATGATAACCCTATATGCAAAACAGAAAAAGAGACACAGATGTACAGAACAGACTTTTGGAGTCTGTGGGAGAAGGCGAGGGTGGGATGTTTCGAGAGAACAGCATCAAAACATGTATATTATCAAGGGTGAGACAGATCATCAGCCCAGGTTGGATGTATGAGACAAGTGCTTGAGGATGGTGCACTGGGAAGACCCAGAGGGATGGGGTGGAGAGGGAGGTGGGAGGGGGAATCAGGATGGGGAATACATGTAAATCCATGGCTGATTCATGTCAATGTATGGCAAAAACCACTACAATATTGTAATTAGCCTCCAACTAATAAAAATAAGTGGAAAAAAAAAAGAATACTGGAGTGGGTTGCCATGCCCTTCTCCAGGGGATCTTCCCAACCTAGGGATCAAACCCAGGTCTCCCACCTTGCAGGCAGATTCTTTACTGTCTGAGCCACCAGGGAAGGTTTAAGACTTACTAGAAAGTTACAATAATTAAGAAAATGTGGTACAGGTGCAAGGAGAGACAAAGGATACGGTGGAACAGAATAGAGAGTCTAAAAAATGTATTCAGACATATGTGCCCTTTTGCTTATCACAAAGGTGACACTGCAGTGGGGAATAGTCTTCTCAGAAAAAGATTTTGGGTCAACTGGATGCCCATATGAAAACATGACACTTGCCCCTTATCCTACAGAGATGTCAATCCTAGAAGTGAAGTACAATTATATGCAAAAAAAAAAATGCAATTACACTTCTGTGAGATACTCTCAGAGAACATTTTTGTGATTTTGGAGTAGACAAAGGATATAAGGAACTCTGTGGATTAGAACAATAGACTGGTTCAAAACTGAGACAGAAGTACATCAAAGCTGTATATTGTCACTTTGCTTATTTAACTTACATGCAGAGTACATCATGCAAAATGCTGGGCTGGATGAAGCACAAACTGGAGTCAAGATTGCTGGGAGAAATATCAATAACCTCAGATATGCAGATGACACCACCCTTATGGCAAAAAGTGAAGAGAAATTAAAGAGCCTCTTGATGAAAGTGAAAAAGGAGAGTAAAAATGTTGGCTTAAAACTCAACATTCAAAAAACTAATAGCATGGCATCTGGTCCCATCACTTCATGGCAAAAAGATGGGGAAACAGGGACAGACTATTTTCTTGGGCTCCAAAATCACTGCAGATTATGCTGCAGCCATGAAATTAAAAGATGCTGCTTGGAAGAAAAGCTGTGACCAACCTAGACAACATATTAAAAAGCAGAGACATTACTGACAAAGGCCCATCTAGTCAAAGCTATGATTTTTCCAGTAATCACGTATGGATGTGAGAGTTGGACCAGAAGGAAAGCTGAATGCTGAAGAATTGATGCTTTTGAACTGTGGTGTTGGCGAAGACTCTTGACAGTCCCTTGGATGGCAAGGAGGTCCAACCAGTCAATCCTAAAGGAAATCAGTCCTGAATATTCATTGGAAGGACTGATGTTGAAGCTGAAGCTCCAATATTTTGGCCACATGGTGGGAAGAACTGACTCATTGGAAAAGACCCTGAAGCTGAGAAAGACTGAAGGAAGGAGGAGAAGGAGACGACAGAGAATCAGATGACTGGATGGTTTCCCCAACTCAATAGATACGAGCTTGAGCAAGCTCCGGGAGATGGTGAAGGACAGGAAAGCTTGGCATGCTGCAGTCCATGGGGTTGCAAAGAGTCGGACATGACTAAGCGACTGCACTGAACTGACTGACTGAAAGAGCACTACATGTACAGAGAAAAAGGTAATAAGTCAAACCTAAGATGCATAACTTGGCTCATTGAAGTACAGCATACCATTAAGAAAATAAAAATATAAGACAGAATTAAACACACAAAAATCATAATAAATATTTCTTCCAAAAGTCATAATCATGGTAATTTGCACCATTGTATTTGTAAGGTCAAGAACTGGAAATAAACTCAAACCTCTGCCATTAGTTGAATGGTTCAACGCATGGTCAAGTGATCATTCAAAGGAATACTCTATCATAATAAAAATGAATACAATGCTGCCATAAACAATATAATGAGTGAATCTCAAACACAGTTTGGAGTCAAAGAAATTAGACACAAAAGAAAACATACTGTATGGTTTTACATAAAGTTCAAAACCTGAGAAAATACTCTATGGCAGTACAAGTCTTAGGTAAGCAGTCCTCCCTGGAGAGGAGGAGGACACAGCTATTGAGAGGCAATAGTGATTCTATGGTGCTATGAATGTTCTCTTTGTAGATTTAGGTTGGGGAACATGACCTAGGTATACAGTTATTGTTTGTACTTTGTTCTCTATTATTATCCTTAAATAATAATGTTTCATAAAAAATATTATTCATCTAGGCATTTCTTTCCCTGACATAGCACTTCTTAGCATTTATTAGCACTTCTTTCCCCTGAAAAAATGAGTGAACAATGAGAATGTTATGGAGCAGGACCTTAAGGAGCCTTCTCAGGACAGACCACCCTCATGTCCTCCACCTGCCTGTTTGTAGAAAAACCTAGCTAAAGAATAAATTTAATCACAGAAATGAAAAAAATTCAGAAACAAATGAAAACAGTAAAATAGGACAAAATAATAATAGTTTAGCCCTAAACAAACTCAAGGACCTTTAGTTCCTTCTCATGGGCTATAGATAACATTCTGAGCCATATCTTTTGAGCTATTTTGCAGATACTGAAATCCCAAACAGGTGGCAGCAAAAAAAATTACATGATGACCAGACTAGTGGGTTGCATTTCCTTCTCCAGGGGATCTTCTCAACCCAAGGATCAAACCCAGGACTCTTGCATTGAAGGCCGATTCTTCACCATCTGAGCCAACAGGGAAACCCATAATCTTCATCTTACAAAATTCCAAGAATCGGCCTCAAGGAAATGGGAACAGAACAACACTAGAACTGATGATTAACTATAATTCAAACAATAAAGGTGACACTGATCAGACCTACTTCAAGATCATTGTCAAAGCAAGCTGTGCTATTCTGCAGGTAACCTGTCCCCTACCTCCACCTGCGCATTCCAGAAATTCCCATTTAAAAACTCTTGCCCCTGATCAGCAAGGAGGAGCTGGTTCTTTGGTACATTAGTCCTCTGTCTCCCAGAACTGCTGGTTTCCTCAATAAAGCTGTCTTAATTTTACCCCACACTCGTCTCTCAGTGTTGGATTCTTGAGTAATGAGCAGCTGAAACCTGAGTTCAGTAACAAGATTAAACATTTCACTACAGAATATCTTCCTTTTCAAACCTGTTTTCCCTTACTCTCTGCTCTGGGGACATTTCACCCCAGGAGCATCCTAAGTACAGTAGCCCTTCCCTGTCTTACCTGAGCAGATCACAGAGGCCGTGTTGCCATGGGAACAGTCAGGAACACCCAGGGCAGTCACAGGGCATTGCCACAGGAAGGACTCAGTCCCTGAGCAGTGGAATCGGGCTTTCCAGAGCTGATCACTTCCTTCTGCTCCGTTTGGGGTGGAGACAGCGACTCCACAGCCGAGCTGACGACAGACAACATTGGCATTGGCCAGACTCCAGTGGGAGGCACAGAGAGCTCTCCATTGTCCAGAAATATTCATCTCCACCCGCCCCTCACACTGAGAGGAGCCATTTTTCATAAGCCGGACTTCTGTGTACACTGATAGAAAAAGAGGATTTCAGCAAAATCTGATTTCTTTTTTAGCTTGAACTGAGTGTACATGGAGGCTAAGTCCTGCCGTGCATCTTACCTGAACAGACAACCTGAGCAGCTCCACTGTGGTGACACCTGCCCCCTGGACAGGGCACTCTGGGGCAGAACCAGAGCTTAGGCTCCTCCCCCTCGCACCTGAACTCTTCAGTCCAGACCCGGCCATCAGACTCTCTGAAGGGCACATGTCCCAGGACAGACACAGCCTTGCCACACCCCAGCTCTGCACAGATGACCTGGGCAGTGGGGAGTGTGAAGTTCCCATCAGACACTGGGGTCCAGTCTTCTCCAGAACGCACTTCTACTCGCCCTGAGCAGGGTCCATCCCCTCCAGCAAGACGCACAAATCCTAAGAGAAACAAAGAACGACAAACCCAGTGAGTGTTCATGAACCTGGCTTGACAATTGTAAACAACATCTCACAGGCAATGGTGGGAAAGCTTTACTTTCCAACATTGAAATAAGAGGGGATAAGAAGAGACAATTTGACTGTCATTGTCAAATTGCATTTTCATGAGCAAGTTTCTAAAGAGGTATCCAGAAGGACTGCAGGGTCAGTTTGGAATGGCTGAATCCTGAGAATATATATTTTGGTTAGGAATATTAATTCCTATCTGGGGGCCTGGAAACTACAAGACCCAAAGAAACTGCACAGTGATAGACATTCAAACATGGGTACAGAGCTGAACTGAAAGTGAAAAAGGTCCATGGGATTCAAGAGGTTAGAGGCGTAAGAGCCAGAGAAGTTTAGAAGGTCATCCTGAGATTTCTGGGGATAGAATTCTGGCCAGTTTTCTCTGAGCCAATATTCAAGTCACTGAGGATGGGAACATCATGTGGTCTGGATCTGAGTGCAGGCATCAGGTCACAATTAGGTAACCTAATTGAGAAAGAAGTTGTTTACAGGTAAGTTTGGAAATGATGAAAGCTCAGACAGTCATAGGAGAGGGAGGGAATGATCCTAGCCATCTTTCTTAAAAACCTAAGGTTTATGAACACACCTGAGAGAAAGTGAAGTCTCAGTGGGATTATGCAAGACAACTGAGTTAGTTGATTACTTTGTCCTAGACATGAGATTCTTAGCAAATGTGAAGGAGTGATGATAATCTAATGTATTCTAACCCTATTTATATACCAACTGCATATTTCTTTCCTCTTTGGATTTCTGAGATAAGAAGCCAGTAAGCTATACAAAAGGAGTGTGAGAGGAAGAGAGCAGAGAGCAAGCAAGCCATATATATTTTAGAGAAATCTAAATTGCAGAAGCCTCAATAGCGATGAAACATAGATTTGGAAACCAAATACTTGTTCAACAAGATTTTAACACCTTTCATCCTCTGTGCTTCTCCCATTTTCCACCAATACTGCTACACTTTCCCAATTCCCCCAGTGCAGAAAAGAAGAAATTATCTTAAGAGCTACAAATAGATAGAAAGGACACTCTAAAAGGGAAGAACTTCTGTAGGGAGTGAGGTGGGGTGAGTGGTATGTTAAAAAAGGAGTGGATGGAGTATGAGAGACCAAAGAAAAGACTCATGATCATGATTTCATCCTTCATGGACCATACTTGGACAGAGAAAAGGTAATCCAATAGGAAAAAATCCCTGAAAATCATAAATAACAATTTTTAAAATAATTTGCCTGGTTTCTGAGTGTGCTCATGGTTATTTATGTACATGGTGGAATTTGTTCTGGTAAAGGACTCTGATTGCATAAGTATGTGAACTTTGAAGCCTCAAAAAGAATTATGCAAAAGAATAAAAATCTACTATAGAAAGCAGGAGAGAACAGGAAAGACACCACAGAAATTAAAGAATTGAAGGATTAGCTTGACCACTGATATAAGAATGAATGATGAAAGAGAGGATGATCTCTTGCCTTTTATTATTTATCCATTTCCATCACCCCAGAGAGGCCCAGATTAGGACTCCTAGTCTCCTCTGGCTGGGAATTTGGTCACAGGCTACACATTCTAATTAAAGCATTTTTATTTATCTGGTTGTTTTTGTTGCTCAGTCACTCAGTCATGTCCAACTCTTTGTGACCCTATGGCCTGCAGCACACCAGGCTTCCCTGTCCTTCACTATCTCCCTGAGTTTACTGAAACTCATGTCCATTGAGTCAGTGATGCCATCCAACCATCTCATCCTCTGTCATCCCTTCTTCTCCAGTCTTCAATCTTTCCCAGCCTCAGGGTCTTTTCCAATGAGTCATTTCTTCTTATCATGTGGCCAAAGTATTGGAGCTTCAGCTTCAGCATACATCCTTCCAATGAATTATTCAGGGTTTATTTCCTTTAGGATTGACTGATTTGATCTCCTTGCTGTCCAAGGGACTCTCCAGAGTCTTCTCCAGTACCACAGTTCAAAAGCATCAATTCTTCAGTGCTCAGCCTTCTTTATGATCCAACTCTCACTTCCATACATAACTACTGGGAAAAAACATAGTTTTGACTATATGGACCTTTGTCACAAAGTAATGTCTCTGCTTTTTAATATGCTGTCTAGGTTTGTCATAGCTTTTCTTCCAAGGAGCAAGCATCTTTTAATTTCATGACTGCAGTCACTGTCTGCAGTGATTTTGGAGCCCAAGAAAATAAAGTCTGTTGCTGTTTCCATTGTTTCCCCATCTCTTTGCCATGAAGTGATGGTACTGGTTGGAATGATATTAGTTTTTTGAATGTGGAGTTTCAAGCCAGCTTTTTTACTCTTCTCTATCGCTTTCATCAAGAGGCTCTCCTCTGTTCCTCTTTACTTTCTGCCATTAGGGTGGTGTCATCCGTATATCTGAGGTTATTGATATTGTTATTTTAATTCTATGAGATTAAACATTTAGAAAGAACAAGGAGAAAAGTATTTCTTATATTCTGTTTTATATACCCTGATACATGTGAAATATTCAAATATGTGCTGAATAATCAATAAAGTCATATATATCAAGATAGAGACTTCTGAGATATAGTATATCTTTTTTATTTTCTACTTGATTTTAAAATTTATATGAAAGAATAAGTGTGTGAAAATTCCAAGAAAATTATTAAGTAGAAGGCTGATGTGAGTATAGATATTAAATATAGTAAAGACATATCCTTGTCTGGTCTCTTGCTGTGTAGGACACATCCTGTATCCTTAGGCACACATAGCATCCTCCATACCACACCTGGCCCCTCAGTGCTGCTCAGAGAGCCTCACAGTTACCTTCATCAGCTCCCATTGCCTTTCTTCTTCCTCCCAGCTACTATAAAACATTTTCCACCTTCTTCAAAAATTATATGTGTCCACTAACTCCAAATAAGCCCCCAATTGCAATTCTCTTATATCATTGAAGTCATCAAATATAAACTATATAATCTCTTAACATAAAACACAGAAATTCAAGTTTTATTACCTCCACCTTTGACTTGTCAGTTCATGGCTAAGTGTTCCTCCAAAGTTTGCATTTATACAGATATTCTAAAGGAAAAATTGGAGAGAGACACTTTTCTAGTAACAATGGAATAATATGTGACTCAGAGCATTTCATCAACAATTCTCTACCATCAAAGAACTATGAACATTTATGTCTAAATTTGCAAAGGAAACTTGAAATCTGGCACAAATCCATAAGAATCTCTGATCTGTTAAGTGATAACCCCTTAGGGGTACCCTCTATATATGTAAATGATGTCCTCCTATAGTAGGAGTAGCCTCCAGTCATACTAACCTAGTGCAAAATAATGTCTCACACTGCTTCTATAGAAACAACTCCACCCAGGAAAGTACATCCTCATTTTTGTCCCTCCCTCTCATAACCTTCCCGTGTAAAGGGAGTGTGTATGTGGCTGTTAGCAAATGTTTCACTCTTACAAAACGTGAATTATGAAAAGAAAATCATGAGGATTTATTTTAACTGGGAGAATAAATAAAGCTATTTTAGTTTCAGGTAAGACCACTGGAGAAGAAAAGAATAGCAGAGATTTGTAAGAGGAAAGCATATGAAGCTCCTAGCTCACAGATACAGTGCACTCAGGGAGGATGAGTAGTTGTTTCCAGTCCTCTCTAGCCCATGCGTTCCCTATTGTCCCTCTGATCAGACACCAGCTTTCTTGGAACTTTCCATTCTCCCAGCTGGTGGGCAATGAACTGACCATACCTGAACAGATGACTCCTGCTTCCTTGCTATGATCACAGTAGTGCTTCCCCCAGCCTTCGGAAGGGCACCTCCACACGTGGGACTCCTTTCCTGTGCACTTCACGTTGTCCAGCCAAATGGGCCCTGATCCCGCCCCAAAGTAAGAAGAGATAGGGATATCGAGGGCTTCTCCACAGCCCAGCTGTCTGCACACCACGCGGGCATCGTCCAGGTCCCAGCCACCATGACAGATGGTGCCCCAGGAGCCGTGGTCAAGGATCTCCACTCTTCCGGCGCAAGGACCGCCCCCGTCCACCAGGCGGAGCTGTCTGCTACCTGAGGAGAGAGAAATGGGACACACGGGGCATTGACTTGGAGAATGAGAAGGGTCTTCTCTCCTGTGTCACCCTCACCTGAGCATTAGGAGGCGCTCTCCTCTGAGGCTGCAGACCCTGCTGGTACTGATACGGAGTCCTTACACTGGTGCAGAAGGCAATGACAACCCACTCCAGTACTCTTGCCTGGACAATCCCATGGACGGAGGAGCCTGGTAGGCTGCAGTCCATGTGGTCGCTAAGAGTCGGACACGACTGAAGTGACTTAACAGCAGCAGCAGCATTGCACTGGGGCAGCAGCTGGGTCTGGTTTCTTACATCAGCGGCAAGAGAATTAATAAGGTTGAAAAGTAGGAGGGAAAAACCAAACAGGAAATAGTAAGCTGAAAACACAGTAGGGAGTACTCTGAGACAGACAGTGTTACAAGGTCATATCAGAGGTAACATTCTGATCTGTAGAGTTGTGCACAGCACCTGAGAAGGATTTACAGGAAATGTTGGTCTCTATTCCCACAGCAGTTAAATGAGTTCAGAGTCACAGGAATGGGCCGGCAGCTGGATGGATTCCTTACAAACCACACACACTTTGATGCTGTTGACCTGAGAGTTAAAGGGGTTGATTAAAGAGAGTGGCCTCATCAGAAGCTTCAGGTAGCAGTTATGAATCCTTTACCATTAGAATCCTTCTCCTTGGTACAGTCATTAAGAACTGAAAAACAAATGGATTCTGTGATGTTTTGGTTTACCCCAGAATATTTCATTTACAGTTCTAAGCTTCAGACTTCAGATCTGGATACTTAGTTGCAAAAAAATGTGATCTCTTTGAGTAGATTGAACAACTTTGCATTAGAGATGATGTCAGGTAACATTGACACTGGCCAGATTACACTAGGAATCAGAGAATGTTGCTTCCTCTCCCAAAAAAATACAATCCCTCCTTGGACTTTGTGTCAAGAATTTCTGTTCTTCAAATTTTGGAGTTGTGTGATCTTGAGGGGGAAATAGTGTATATGTGTGCTTAGTCACTTCAGTCATGTCCAACTCTTTAAGACCCTATGAACTGTACCTCACCGGGCTTCTCTGTCCATGGAGTTCTCCAGGAAAGAATAGTGGAGTGGTTGCCATGCCCTTCTCCAGGGGATCATCCTGACTCAGTGATCTAACCAGTGTCTCCTGTATCTCTTGCATTGCAAGTGGATTCTTTATCACTGAGCCACCAGTGAAGCCCTTCTAGTTGTATCACAGAGAAGAAGTGGGTTATATTCCTGCTCTGAAAGCCCTTGAACAAATAACATTAATAGAGTCACTGGATTCTTCTTTCCTTTAACACATAAAAGTGATGTAAAGAAAGGCTAAATAATGTCTATCAGTGCTGCACTTTAAGTAAATAATGACATAGAAAACTAAACCTAAAATTTTCCACTTCCATGAAGAATGGAGGAGTTCACAGCAGGCCAATGTGTCTTGCTGGGTCTTGCTGGATACAACTTAGAAAACTGGAAAATGTTTTTTAAGCAATAGTAAATGTATTCAGCATTTGTTAACACAACATGGACTAAATATGCTAAAATTCTAGAGTGGAGATTATTTCAATGTTAGTCAAGGATTCATAGCTTCTTTTTCTCTGTGGGAATTTGTTGATTCATTGCATAATTTAATGATTCAGAATCTGGCCTTGGACAAGCAGAGAACTACTCTTGTGACAGGAAGTCAGCATAATTTGGGAGTTACCTGGTGCTGAAGTGACAAAATTAGAGTCTTGAGAGCCTCTCTCACACAGCAGGTTTTCTCCTCAAATATCCGCCCAGTATGTAAGCTGTGACGGGTAGGAACTATATAAAAAGACTATATAAAGAGAGAGTTGGAACTATATAGAAAGACTTGGGGAGCAGAGTCTTTTTCATTATTTGGGTACTTAGCTAGAAAAGAATTTAGGCTCTGAACGGAAATCTCTGAAAGCCCCTGTCATAGGGACAGAGAAATCAGAGGTGGACTGAGTGCTACCGAAACTGCAACCCACACTTGTTACAGTTCAGTTTTAGGTTATATTTAGATGTTTGAGTGATACACACCCCTCCCCTCTACCTGCCTGGGAAAACAAATGGTAAATCCTTTCAGGTGTTAGAAAATGCATCAGGAGTATCTTACTTTCTCATATACAATTTATAGCATTCAATAAAAAATGACATGACATTTGATAAGTTAGGATAACATGACAAATGACCAAAGTGAAAAAAGATAAGAGAATGAAGAGACACCTATGATAGAAATGCTGGACTTAGCAGATAAAGATTTTAACTACAATCAGTGTATTTAGGGGAAAAGAGAGAAGAAGAGAATAAACAGGCAAAAAGATGAAAAAAATAACAAATAATCATTAATAAATAAAAATATCTAAAGAACCATTGCTGACCTAAAATAAAATATCTAGGTTTAAAAAGTGAATGAATAAGTTAAAAGAATTTTAGATAGAACTCAGAAGATAGTGATTTAGAAGAGTCCTAAAGATGAGAGATGAGAAAGAGAAGAAAGAGGAGGAGGAGAGGGAGAAGAGATACAGAAACAGAGAGACAGACCTGCAGAAATAATATCTGAAGATATAACAATGGAGAATTTAAAAAAAAATAAATGGAGGAGTGTGAAAACCCCCACTCCTAGTAAAGCTGCTGGAAATCAAAAGGGAAAAGGAAAATCTGGAATAATAACAGATTTATTTAATACTAAAGGAGGAAAAAAATGGAGACAAAAAGGAACATAAGCAGGTGGATCAATTAAAAACAAATGGCAGATACCAACACATCAATATCAGTAATTGCATTTACAGTAAATGGATTAAGATAAAACAAAATTGACACAAATGTTACTTGCAAAATGCCCACCTTATATTATGAAAGCAAAGAATGGTTGAAAGCAAAATGATGGGAAAAATGTACCAACTGTAACAAAACTGGAGTAGCTATATGAATGTCCCAGAAAGCAGACTTTAAGCGAAGATACACTAATTGAATTAAAGAGGCAATTTTCAAGATTATAATGAGATGCACCCTTAATAAAGATATTTTAGACAACAAAATTCAAGAAAGGTAACAGAGCATAACTTTGAAATACGCTTGACAGAGTGAAAAGAAGAAATAGACAAAATCACAATCAAAATGGGGGATTATTACCATATCTTTTTCAATAGCATGCAGACCAAACATACAAAAAACAGAGAAGAATACATCAGATGTACAACAACATAATCAGCGCATTTAACTAAGTGACATATAGAGCAATGCACCCAACAATGCAGGAGTTTACATTATTATAAATGCACTAGGAACATTTATCAAAATGACCATAGAATAGGACAAAATCTTTCACTCTTTGAATTCATACAGAGTATTTACTCTGACCACAGTGGAATAAAATTAAGAATTAATAAGAAATATTGTTAGCCACCTCTATTTGGGGAAATTCAGCAAGATCCTTCCAAAAACCACCTGAGTCTGGGAATAAACTTAAAACTTACAAAATATTGTGAAATAATGATAATAAAGATATGATAGTAATGATAATAAACACAAAATAATGATATGATTATAAATTCTTCTAATGAAACTCAAGTAGTGCCTAAGGGAATTTTATACCCTAGATTTAGAGAAGAGGAAAGACTGACAGTGAAAAAAAGTAAACTTCCAATTAAGAAACTAGATGAGAAAGTCTAAAGGATGTTGAATGTTGGGGTTAATTTAAAAAGGAACAAAAATTAATGGAAAAGAAGGTAAGCATAAGGTAGAAAATATAGAAGAAAACCCTTTAAATGTGGCTCATTGAAAATTGATTAACACTGAGCAATACTTAAGAAGAGCAGAGAGAAAATGAAGTTAACAATACCAAGAATGAAAAGGGACATCACTATAAATCAAACAGATTTTTGGTAATAGTTCTGTGCTGTCGTTTGTTTTTTGGCTGTGCTGTTGCTCATGGGATCAGAGTTCCCAGGTCAGGGATTGAACCTGGACCCATTACAGTGAAAGCCCAGAGATTTAACCCCTGGATTACATAGTTTTATTAATACAATTTATACATTTAATGTAGATAAGTACACATAAAGTGTCAATTTCTCCACAGCCTTGCCAACACTTAAGAGTCTTTAAAAAAAAACAAAAAACAGTCATTCTGACATGTGTGAGATATCTCTTTGTGGTTTTAATTTACATTTCCCTGATGATTGACAATGTCAAGTGTTTTTTCATATACCTATTGCCATTTGTATGTCTTTGTTAGAGAACTGTCTATTCAAGCCCTTGGCCAATTTTTTAATTGAGTTACTAGGTTTTAGGTTGGTTTTTTTTTTCTCTTAAGTTGTGGGAGTTCCTTATTATTTTTGGAAATTAATACCTTATATAATTTGTGCTAGCTTGCTTTTTCACTCTGTTGATCTTTCATTTGGTTTATGGAAGCTTTTAAGTTTGATATATTCCCACTTGTCTATTTTTGCTTTGTTGCCTGTACTTTTGATGTCATACCTATGAACTCATGAAACAATGTGCTTTTATTTTGTTATGGAGTTAAGATATCACATATCTAAAATGTATTCCTATCTGGTGATCATGTTACACAATCACACATAGTAAAATAAATTCAGATAATTAAATAAATTTGAAATTAGGTTTTGAATATACTTCAGTGGAACTATAAAATTGCAGAAAACAAAACTTGATTCAATGTTATTTAGAGATGAAGAATGGAGTTTGAAACATTGCATTAAAGGCAGAAGTCAAAAAAGTAAAACATTACAGATTTGATCACATAACCCCCCCATACACATATACAATCTTAAAAATATATGTAAAATATGGGGGAAATCTTACAAAAATATTTAAGAAAAACAGTAAGTGATGTTTGTTTATAAAGAGTTCCTATGAATAAATAAGGAATTTTGAAACATTCTAGAGAAAAAATATTGTCATGAAAGATATCTTAAGACAGTAATATAGGAAAGAAGATAGTAGTTTTGTATACAATGTTTGTGATACTTGCTCAGTCACGTCCAGCTCTTTGCGACCCCATGGAATATAGAGTCCATGGGATTCTCCAGGTGCGAATCCTGGAGTGGGTAGCCATTCCCTTCTCCAGGGGATCTTCCCAACCCAGGGATCAAACCCAGGTCTCCTGCACTGCAGGCAGATTCTTTACCAGCTGAGTCACAAGGGAAGCCCAAGAATACTGTTGTGAGTAGTCTATCCTTCTCCAGCGGATTTTCCAGACTCAGGAATCAAACCAGGGTCTCCTGCATGGCAGGCGGATTCTTTACCAGTTGACCTACCAGGGAAGCTGTTCAGTTCAGTTCAGTTCAATCGCTCAGTCGTGTCTGACTCTTTGCGACCCCATGAATCGCAGCATGCCAGGCCTCCCTGTCCATCACCAACTTCTGGATTTCACCCATGTAGACAAAAAAAATATGATGCATTCTCTTACATTAAGACTATGAAGAAAATAATACTCTCTTCTAAAATTAAGTATTTATTTGGTTGGGCTGAGTCTTAGTTGCAGCATGCAAATTCTTACTTGTGGGATCATAAGAAAGAAAAAAATTGTAACTGCATGTGGTAATGGATATTACTGTATGTGTGGTGATGATTTACCAATATGTACAAATACATAAACATTATGTTGTACACTTAGAACTAATATAGTGTTACGAGAATTACATCTTAATTAAAAATGTTAACAAACAAGGTTGGAATATGTGGATTAAATTAGTTTCATTCTTACCTCATTTAGGCTTCTCTGGTGGCTCAGACAGTAAAGAATCTGACTGCAGTGTGGGAGACCCAATTTTCATACCTGGGTCAGGATGATACCCTGGAGAAGGGAATGGCAACCCATTCCAGTATTCTTGCCTGGAGAATTCCACAGACAGAGGAGCCTGGCAGGCTACAGTCCATGTGGTCTCAAAGAGTCGGAAATGACTTAGCAACTAACATTTTCATTTAATGTCATTTTGTGGACCCAAATTAAATTCATTACTTAGATTTTAAAATACCAAATCTCACTGCATCCTACAAGGATGGGACAGACACACAGAAACAGACAGTAAGTCACCTTCACACGAGATATAGGCTTCCTCCTTTGGAGAGCATGAAGTGTAATTCCAAGGGTCAGAAGGACACTGCCAGAGAGAGGTGTCAGTTTTCCGACACTGGATTCCATCCACCCACCGGGGTCTAGAGCCTTCTCTAAGAGCAAGAGAAGAGTTGAGGGTTCCACTGTCCCCACAGCCAAGCTGTCTGCAGATCACGGACACAGTGATATCCTCCATGGGGTTGCGGCAGACACTGCCCCAGGTCCCGTTGTAGAAAACTTCCAGCCACCCAGCACACTGCTGCTCCTTGCTCACCATCCTGAGGGCCAGGAACTCTAAGGTTGAAAGGGGAGGAGACAGGACACAGTGAAAACTTTGCAGGATGTTCTAGGTTTTCCTTTCTTCTAGAAATGATGAACATTCATCTCTGACCTTGTTCAAGAGATATCCACTAGATGACAAGACTGACATCGCTTCCCTTTTAACTAACTTTGTTCATTTGTGTCTGTCCTTCTATTTCTATCACAATGGTGTAATGGATATGAATTGAGAGGAAGACCAAATTGTGTGGGCGCTCTTCAGGGAGGGGCAGCTGAATGCTGCTTCCTGACAATATCTTTGAAGAGTATGTTAAAGGGATGTGATGTGGATATTAGGGAGATAAGGATAATAATTAATCCAAAAATGTCCACATCCCAATCTCTGTAACCTGTGACTATGTTACTGTACCTGACAAGAGGGATTTACAGATGTGAATAAGGTAAGGACCTTGGGATGGTGAGTTTAAGCTAGAATATTGTGTTAACAATGTGAGCTGATTCAAACCACATCCTTAGACCCACTATCCTTAAACGTGCAATACTTTTCTTAACTCTGGTTAGAGAGAGAGAGATGTGACTCAGGATAATGGTTGGAGGCCTTCAGCATTGCTGGTCTGATAATGGATGAAGGGTGCTGTGAAGGAAGGAATGTAGGTGGTTTCAAGAAGTTTGAAAAGGCAAGAAACAGATTCTCCCCTAGAGCTGCAAAAGTGATGCAGCCCTGCTGAAGCCTTGATCCCAGCCCAGTGAGGTCCCTGCTGGACATCTAAGCTCGAGAAGAGTAAGGAAATAAATATATGTTATTTAAAACCACTAATTGGTAAATTGTTAGGGAAGCAAATGGAAACTAGTACCGTGGGTTTAAAATTTTTGTATGTAACTGGAGAGAGAGCCCTGCTTTCAAGAAAAACTGTAAGAAACGGCTCTGCCAGGAAACACTGCTGAAAAGAAAGGACCATATCATCAGCTGTTGCAGGAGGAAGTGAAAGCACCTCGTCTTCACGTCTGCTGGAAAGACAGTCTCCATGGGAGGAAGCCTCCTTCTCTGGTCCTTTCAGCATCTCTCCCTCGGGGCTCAGATCCCCGTCCTCCAGAGTCCCAACCCCTCCCCCAGCCTGTGGACAGTGTGCAGCACAGACCTGAGCAGATGACCCCCGCGTCCTGCTTGTGTCTGCAGTCGTGCTGCCCCCAGCCCCGGGAAGGGCACCTCCACAGGTGGGACTCCTTTCCTGTGCAGTTCAGGTCGTCCAGCCAGATGGGCCCTGATCCTTCCCCAAAGTGAGCAGACCCCGTGGCATTGAGAGCTGATCCACAGCCCAGCTGCCTGCACACCACGCGGGCATCGTCCAGGTCCCAGCCGTCATCACAGATGGTGCCCCAGGAGCCCTGGTCAAGGATCTCCACTCTCCCGATGCAAGGACCGCCCCCGTCCACCAGGCGGAGCTGTCTGCTGTCTGAGGAGAGAGAAATGGGACAATGGGGTGGTGATCCCATAGGTTGAGAAGGGTCTTTTGTCTTGTGGGACCCTCACCTGAGCAATAAGGGGCGCTCTCCACTGAGGCCACAGAGCCGGCTGGTTCTGACATAGAGTGGTTGCACTGAGGCAGCACCTGAGTCTGGTTTCCTAAAGAAACAACAATGATCAGAAGTCTGGAAGGTTTGAAGAACAGGAAACTGAATTAAGGGAAATAACGACCTAGTGATGGAGCCTAAGGTGAAAGCAGTGACCCAGCAGTAAATTTATCATGCTCTTAGTGTTCACCTTCTCCCTGGAGAGTTCTGCTTCTGACAGTACCACAATTTCTGTTTTAGCACCAGTGTTCTTATAAGAATGAGTTAAGTAAGTTGTTGTATCCCTAAATATATCCCTGTGCTGTGATTAGCTGCTCAGGCATGTCCAGCTCTCTGCAACCCCTTGGACTATAGCCCACCAGTCTCCTCTAACCATAGGATTTTTCAGGCAGGAATACTGCAGTGGGTTGCCATGCCCTCCTCCAAAGGATCTTCCCAACCCAGGGATCAAACCCAGGTCTTCCACACCACAGGCAGATTCTTTACCATCTGAGCTACAGGGAAGCTGAAATCTATTCCTAAGTAAAAGCAAAATAACATTCTTTCTGAAGGAGTTCTACAATTTCTTCAATGCCTATCTTTAAAAGAAACACTTGAATAAAATAGATCTCATTAAAAACGGAAAGGAAAAAGGAGACATTAGAAAGAATTCCCAGGGTTTTTAGCTGCTAGAATTACCTGACAGAGAATATAAATAGCCCCGGTTAAAGTGCTTATGGAATTAATTGACAAAATGTGTATCATTGCAGAGAAATGATAACAAAAACCAAATACTTCTAGTGATGAAAAACTTGTTAGCTGCAATTAAGAACTAAAGAATAAGTGTAGCTACACATTAGCTCAGCATAAAGTAGAAACATCAAAATGCAAAATCAGAGGATATTCTTCAATTTAGAAATTCAGACCACATAGCAAGAGTTCTGGTTATATTGTTGTATAGCAGTTTTTCCAAAAATCCTTGGTTCAGTTCAGTTCAGTTGCTCAGTCATGTCCAACTCTTTGTGACCCAATTAACTGAAGCTTGCCAGGCTTCCCTGTGCATCACCAACTCCTGGAGTTTGCTCAAACTCATGTCCAACAAGTCGGTGATGGATGAGATGGACCATCTCATCCTCTGTGATCCCCTTCTTCTCTCACCCTCAATCTTTCCTAGTATCTCTTCCAATGAGTCAGTTCTTGGCATCAGGCAGCTAGAGTACTGGAGCTTCAGCTTCAGTACCAGTCCTTCCAATGAATATTCAGGACTGATTTCCATTAGAATCCACTGGTTTGGTCTCCTTGAATTCCAGGAGACTCTCAAGAGTTTTCTCCAACACGACAGTTCAAAAGCATCAAATCTTCAGAGCTCAACTTTCTTTATGGTCCAACTCTTACATCCATACATAAGTACTGGAAGAATCACAGCTTTGACCAGATGGACCTTCGTCAGCAAAGTAATGTCTCTATTTTTAAATATGCTGTCTAGATTGGTCATAGCTTTTCTTCCAAGGAGCAAGCATCATTTAATTTCATGGCTGCAGTCACCATCTGCAGTGATTTTGGAGCCCAAGAAAATAGTCTCTCACTGTTTCCCTTGTTTCCCCATCTATTTGCCACGAAGTGATGGGATCAGATGCCATGATCTTAGTTTTCTGAATGTTGGGTTTTTAGCCAGCATTTTTACTCTCTTCTTTCACTTTCATCAAGAGGCTCTTCACTTCGTATTAGCTTTCTGCCATAAGAGTGGTATCATCCGCATGCTTGAGGTTATTGATATTTCTCCTGACAAACTTGATTCCAGCTTGTGCTTCATCCAGCCCAACATTTTGCATGACGTACTCTGGATATAAGTTAAATAAGCAGAGTGACAATATACAGCCTTGATGTACTCCTTTCCCAATTTGGAAACAGTCTGTTGCTCCATGTCCAATTCTAACTATTGCTTCTTGACCTGCATACAGATTTATCAGGAGGTAGGTAAGGTGGTCTGGTATTCCCATTTCTTGAAGAACTTTCCACAGTTTGTTGTGACCCACATAGTCAAAGCTTGGCATAGTCAATAATGCAGAAGTAGATATTTTTCTGGAACTCTTTTTCTTTTTCTGTGATCCAACAGATGTTGGCAATTTCATCAGTATGAAAATGCAAAACTTAGTAGTTGAAGAAAAAAATATGTACTTCATTTTGCTTATGACTTTGGGTCATTAATCAGGAAGAAACTCAGTTTGGTAGTCTTTCAGTGGGGTCTTTCAGTGCTGCAATTAGATGTCACTTGGAGCTGAAGTCATTTAAAGACTTGACTGAACTCTGGTTCTGTAAGGAAATTCCCAGAAGTGTCCTAAGGGTAAAGGAACATCATGTCTTCAACTTAATTCAAAAATAATTTACATATTTAAGAATAAATGGAGCAGAAGGGGAATCGAGAAGGAAAGACTCTCTCTCTCCCTCTCTCTCTCTCTCTCTCTCACACACACACACACACACAGATTAAAGGAAAATATTGATACTAACATTTAGAAACCCACATAAATGTCATAAGGGCATTTTTATATTGTATTCCAAACATTTTTATGTCTCAGCATACATCAAAATTTGAAGAATTAAAAGATGAAAACAAGTCAAAGAGAATTCATTGCCAGAACACTTTCACAAAAATACTCATAACATCAAAAACTAAATACCTAGGAGAAATCCCGGTAAAAGATGGGCAAAATCTCTGAGAGAAATTCAGGATCTAACCAAATGGAGGGATGTATTATGTCAATGATTTGGAAAACTCAACACTGTCAGTGTCAATCATTCTCAAATTTCTATGTCTACTCAAAATACCCTTAAGCTTTTCTTTTGGTGAAAATGACAAGCTGATTTCTAAATTCATACAAAATACAAGCAACCAAGAATGACCAACACAGTTGGTAAGAAAAGCAATGATGTTAGGAGAGTGAATGTAAAGTAACCCTTGTAAGTTAAAATTATTCAGACTTACTACAAAGTTTGAAACTCAGGGAGATAGTGAAGGACAGGGAAGCCTGGTGTGCTATAGTCCACGGGGTCACAAAGAGTCAGACTTGACTTAGCCATTGAACAACAACTACAAAGTTATGATAGTTAAGAATGCAGTATTGATGCCAAGATAAACAAATGATAACATGGAACAGAATAGAGAGTCTCAAAAAAGACAGACATTCTTGCCCTTCTGCTTATGATGAAGGCAGCACTGCAGTGGGGAAAAGAATCTTTAGAAAAAGGTTCTGAGTCAATTGGATGTCCATATGAAACCTGACCCTTATCTTACACAGATATCAATCCCAGAAGGAATGCACAATAATATGCAAGAGAAAAATAATAATGTTTTTGTAAGATACTCTTAGAGAGTGTTTTTATGATCTTGGACTAGGCAAAATTCTTTTTTAAAGGATATAAGAAGCATTAAATGTACAGAAAAAGTCAGTAAATGTATTTATATAATATTATGAAATGAGTTCATCAAAGGACACCATTTGATTAAGAAAATGAAAATAAAAGACCAAGGGTTAAACATGGAAAATAACTAATACATATTTGCATGCAAAGACATTGTCATGATAAGTTGTAGTATCATACAAATAACCCAGATTTATACTGTCAGTAAGAATGGATCAGTACATGGCCATGTGATCATTCAAAGCATACTCTACAGTAAAAAAAAAGAAAAAGAAAGTGCTACAATGAACAACATCATGTGTCAATCCCAAACATAATTTAGAGTCTATGAAATTAGATACAAAAGATGAAATATACTGCATCATTTTATATAAGGTTCAAACAATGATAAAAACTCTCTATGTTAGCAGAAATTAGCTAAGTGATTTTCCCTTTAGAGAAGGGAAGACACAGTTACTAGGGACAATAGTGACTGTGGTGCTGGGGACAATGTCTTTGTTGCTCTGGATTGGGGTTCATACTGAGGTCTATACTTACTGCTCCTACATTGTTTTCTATGATTTTATGTAAGCAGGATGTTGCTTAAAAATATATTATTCAACTTCACACTTCTTGCCCTGGGCTGAAAAAGGAATGAACAATGAGAAGATCCATATTTCACCACAAAATATCTGACTTTGAAGCCTGTTTAACCTCACTCTATGTTCTTGGAGACATTTCACTCCAGGGGCATCCTGAGTACCAGTAGCCCTTCCCTCTCTCTTACCTGAGCAGATCACAGAGGCTGTGTTGCCATGGGAACACTCAGGACCACCCAGGACAGTCACACGGCAACTCCACAGGAAGGCCTCTGCCCCTGAGCAGTGAAATCGGGATGTTAAGATCTGATCTCCTCCTTCCACCAAGTGTGGTCCTCTGGGGGTGGAGATGGCGACTCCACAGCCAAGCTGACGACAGACAACATTGGCATTGGCCAGACTCCAGTGGGAGGCACAGAGCGCTCTCCATCGTCCAGAAATGTTCATCTCCACCTGCCCCTCACACTGAGAGGAGCCATTTGTCATGAGCCGGATTTCTGAGTACGCTGGTAGAAGAAGACAGGATTTCAGCAAAATCTCATACTTTTCTTACCCCAAAAGAGAGTGCAGGGAGGTTAGTCCTGACCTGCATCTCACCTGAACAGACAACCTGAGCAGCTCCACTGTGGTGACACGTGCCCCCTGGACAGGGCACTCTGGGGCAGACCCAGAGCTCAGGCTCCTCCCCCTCACACCTGAACTCTTCAGCCCAGACCCGGCTATCAGACTCTCTGAAGGGCACGTGTCCCAGGACAGACACAGCCTTGCCACACCCCAGCTCTGCACAGATGACCTGGGCAGTGGGGAGTGTGAAGTTCCCATCAGACACTGGGACCCAGGCTTCTCCAGAATGCACTTCTACTCGCCCTGAGCAGGGTCCATCCCCTCCAGCCAGACGCACAAATCCTAAGAGGAAACAACAACAAAACCAATGAGTGCTCATGGTACTGACTTGGCAACTGGAAACCACACCTCACAGGCAGTGGTGTGAAAGTTGTTCTTTTTAGGATTGGAGCATTAAGAGAGTCTTCGACAGTTAGTGTCATAATTGAATTTTCATGAGCAGCTTTCTGAAGAGAAATCCAGAAGGATTACAAAGTTAGTTTGGAATGGTTGAATCCCAGAACATACACTTTGAGACTGGTTAGAAATGTGAATTCCTTTAGGAGCCTGGAAACTACAGAGCCCAATTCATATCATTGGAATGGCTGAATACTGGAAACATGTTTTGGCATTGGTTGGAGAAATGAATTTCTCATTTAGCAGCCTAGGGCCTATATACAGATCCAAGGACTCTGTATAATATTCAGGCACTTAAACTTGAATGTAGAGATATGCAGAACAGAACCCACCCAGAGGGACATGGGCTATGAGATTAGAGACCTAGCATCCAGACAAGCTTAGAAAGCTTTCGTGGGATTTGTGAGGCTAATATTCTGACCAGTTTTCTCTCCCAGGAGCTAGTCCTCAAGTGACTTAGGTTAGGGAAAGTCCTGAGGCTGAATCCATGAGGGCATCCCAACCTGTAGGCGGGTGACGGCTCCAGAGAAGAAATATGGACACTATCACCAATTCATGTTTATGTCATCACATCTTGTCTTTCTGATACTTTATCATGCCAAAAAATTCCATGAATTCCTTCAGCGACCTCATCGGGAAAGAAAATGAGTTAAGAAAACCCAGAGTCATAAAGAGAGAATCCCAGCCATCTCTCTTGAAATACTAGGATTTGTCAAAGAATCTGGGGGTGAGTGTGCTCTCAGTGGGTGTGTACCGGACAGCTGAGTTTCCAGATCGTCTCCTATTAATTGTTTTTATTCTCAAACAGGACTCGTAGAAAATACTAAGGGCTGATAAGAATTGATTTTAATACTATCATTGTACTAATTCTAACCACAGAAAAATGTGCATTCTTTTCAAGCACACATAGAATATTCTCCAGGCTAGGTTACAAATAAGTCTTAACAAATTCAAAAATATTAAAAATAATTTCAAGCATCTTTCATGACCATAATGGAATGGAACTAAAATTCAATAATGATCAGAAAACAGGAATTCATGAATATATAAAAATTAAACCACACACTCATATTTTAAGATTGTTTTCCTATTTCTATAAAGAATGCTATTGGGATTTAGATAGGAATTGCATTAAATCTGTAGATCACTTTGAGAAGTACAGGCATTTTCACAATATTGATTATTTCAGGCCAGAAACACAAAATGACTTTCCATTGATCATATTGTCTTTAATTTCTTTCATGAATGTTTTACAATTCTAAAAGAAGATGGCATGTTTCCAAAAAGAAGGAGGAAGAAGGAGGAGGAGGAAGAAGTGACCAAACAAGCCATAATTTGGAGCCTCAATTTGGAAAAGTCTCAATATGGATAAGACATGTAAATATTTGTGGCAAACACTTGTTGAATAGATTGTTAGCATATTACATCACCCTCTGCTCCTCTCATCTACTACCTAAGCTGCTATCCTTTCTCATTTCTCCCACTTTAGACAAGCAAACACCATTTTAAAAGATACAGATGGATGGAAAAGAAAATCAGAAAGGGTAGCTACTGCTGAAGGAGTAGGGTGGAGGTGGGGCATATGGCAGGCAAGGTGGGATCAAGGAAGTTTTGAAATTAAAGGAGGAAAACCAAAATAAAAGTTCATCGTTTGGTCATCAAAGGAACACATTTTGAACTGAATGAAGATAACCCAGTGAAAAAACTTTATTTAATTCATCAAGGATAATTCCCTGATTTCTGGGTGTGTTCTCATTGCTTATTTCTAAAGTTCTTCCTGGTAAAGGACTGTTTAGTGATGCCCAACATCCAACCAAAAATTATTAGAATTTCCAAAAGAGAGAAATTTAACCCATAACACATTTTTAACAAGCAATCATTTAAAGTAGGTTCAGAAATTACAGAAATGATTGAATTGGCTGAAGAGCTCCTTAAACCCCTAATATCAATATGCTTAATGAAGCATAAAAATAAACAGGGAGAAAAACTAGGAAAAATAGACAAATGAGATTTCTAAAACTGAAAAATATAGTATTGGGATGAACAATTATTTGGATTAATTACACAAGAGACTAGACATTGCAGAATAAAAGAATTGGGAAGTGAAACACAGCAATAGAGACTATCTAAACTGAACCAAAGAGAGTAAAAAGGCAGAAAAATATGAATGGAAACTCAGTGGCATGTGGGATAATATCAAAATATATAAAATATGTGTATTTGGAGATTCAGAATAAGGATGTGCAGAAAAATGTTAAGAAAAGATGAATGAAATTTTCCTAAATTTATTGAAAACTGTAAACCCACTCACCCAAAAAGGTAAACAAACCCCAAACAAGATAATGAAACCATTCTCAGAAGACTTGACAACGTAATTACTGAAATTCAACAAACTAAACAAAAATATCTTAAGAGCATCCAGGGAAGTTTGACACATTATATACAGGAAACAAAAGGATAAGTATTACTTACTGACTTTTTGTTGGAGGCAGTGAAAGTCAGATAACAATGTAAAAACATATGTAAAGTATTGGGGTTGGGCATTTGTTAACCTAGAATTTAATAACCTGTGAAAATACTTTTCAAAACTGAATGAAAATTAAAATGATTTTAGGTCAATGAAAGACTTGAAGGCCACCAGACATACACTGCACAAAACTCCCTCAGAAAGTTCTTCAAGCTAAAGGGAGATGACAGCAGAAGAAAACAGGGATCCTCTCAAAGCTGTAGAGACTGTGCTAAATGCTGATTCTCTATTAGAAGATTTAACACAAAAGTATCAGCAACAAATTATAAGATTCATAATAAATTTATAAGTAGAATGTATGAAAATGATAGCACTAATGACAAGAACAGGAAAGTGGAAGAAAAGTATAGTGACTGACATTGCATATTGTGATATAATATCATTTCAAGGTAAAATGTAATTAAAGATTAATAATTCAACACTGGGCTTCCCAGGTGGTTCAGTGCTGAAGACTTCACCTACCAATGCAGAAGACGTGGGATTGATCTGTGGTCTAGGAAGGTCCCACATACCACGGAGCAACTAAGCCCATGCACCACAACTAGTGAGCCTGTGCTCTAGAGCCCAGGGGCCATGACTACTGAAGTTTGTGCATCCTAGAGCCTGTCTTCCACAAGAAGAGAGGCCACCACAATGAGAAGCTCCTGGCTGCAATAGAGTAGCCTCTGATCTCCACAACTAGAGAAAAGCCCATGCAGCAATGAAGACCCAGCACAGCAAAAAATAAAAATTAATTAAAAAATTAAAAACAGTTAAACATTATAATCACCTAAAAATCTGATATGATTAATAAACCAATAGAGTACTTAAACTAAAATGATAAAATATATTCAAAGATTAAAATAAGAACAAAGATATAACAAATAGCAGGCAAGTACATTTAAACTCAACTATATCAATAATTATATTAAATGTAAATCATTTAAGTACTCCAAATAAAAAACAAAATAATCAGACAAAATAATATACTGTCTACAAACATAGATATGTTTCAATATGAACACAGAAACATATTAAAGAGGTAAAAATTAAATACCATGCAAACACAAATCAGAGAAAACTGTATATAATATCTAAATTAATATCATACAAAGTCAGACTATAAGACAAAGAATGCATTCAGAGAAAAAAAAACATCTTATGATAATAAAATACAAAAGAAATTATATAGTATCAAAACTGGTGGGTTAAAAATAAAGTGATGCTCAAGCACTTGTCTCATGCATCCAACCTGGGCTGGTGATCTGTTTCACCCTAGATAATATACATGTTTCGATGCTGTTCTCTCGAAACATCCCACCCTCGCCTTCTCCCATAGAGCCCAAAAGTCTGTTCTGTACATCTGTGTCTCTTTTTCTGTTTTGCATATAGGGTTATCATTATCATCTTTCTAAATTCTATATATATGTGTTAGTATACAGAGGGATTGGGTAGAGAGGGAAGTGGGAGGGGGGATTGGGATGGGGAATACATGTAAATCCATGGCTGATTCATGCCAATGTATGACAAAAACCACTACAATACTGTAAAGTAATTAGCCTCAAACTAATAAAAATAAATGAAAATAAATAAATAAATAAAGTGATGCTTAGAAGAAAATTTAGAACCTTGTCGTTTCCTTGATGATTATATTAGAATAAAAATAGAAACAGAATGAAATGACTGAAGACTCCACCTCAAGAATCTACAAAAGCAACAGCAATCATAACTGAAAAAGAGGAATGAAAAATGAGTATAGAAACCAATTAAGAGGAAAGCAAATATGCAATCAAGAAAATCAATAGAGTCCATGAATGATTCTCTTAAAAAGAACATTAACACTGATAATCGTCTAGCAAAACCAATTTAAAAAAAAGAGAGAACACATTAACGGCACCAGTAACAAAAGGAGGAAAATTATCGTAGATCTTCCCAACATCTAAAGATATGAGATATGAACCAATGTTCCTAATTGGAAAATTTTTTGTAAAATGGGCCAAGTCCTTGAAAACACATTACTTGTGAAACACAACTCACCAAAATCTGATACAAAAATAAAAGAGAAAAATATGAGTAAACATATTTGTTAAATAAGCAGAATCCCTATTATAAAAATTTTCCACTAAGAAAACTGCCAGCTACAAATGCTAGCACTTCCACGGAGCTCAGAAATGACTCCCATAAGATAAAGGAAAAGAGGGAGGGAAGGAACGAGGGCAGGAAGGAAGTGTAACACAGAGGCTGTGGTGAACCTACGAATTAACCTGCATCTTTCCAACCCTCCCCTCCTGCAATCCTTGCATCTTCATCCCCTCACCGTTTTGCACTTCAGTACTGTAGTCCCTGGTGGCTCAGAAGATGATTAAGACTCTGCCTGCAA